CCCCCCCCATCTTCACTTTCTGGGCCCTTGGACCCTTTGGAGGTCTAAATCCAGCCCCCAGCTTCCTCCTCCCTCGGATATTCTCTTCACTGAGATCTAAGCATCCCAGCTCCTTCCTCCCTCAGACCCTGGAATCCAGCTGTTCCTTTCACCTTGAAACTGGAAGAGACACATCTTCTGGAATTACATAGAAGCCAAGGGACTGGGAGTTTTCGGGCCCAAACCTGGTGATAGAGAGAGAAATAAGAAAGGACGTGGGGCTGAGAGTAGTGGGGAGAGCAGGGGCTCCAGCACCAACTTGGCCACCTCCTGCCCTCAAGTGGCCCCTCTGGCCTGCTGGGTCCCAGGCCCAGTGGCTGCTGGTCCAGTCCTCAGCCGGGGACAGTGCCAAGTCAGCACCCCTCCCTCCCACGCTGGGCAAAGTCCATCAGTGGCGCCTCCCACTCAGGGAACTTTGGCCCCCGGCTCTGTGACCAGATCAGAGGATGACAAGGAAACGAAGGAGAAGAGGTAAGTGAAGGCCTTCAGGGACCCAAATTCTGACAAAAGTTAGAGCAGTGAGGAACCTACAGGTGACGCTTCCCCAAGGTCTGGCAGTCCAGACTTCCGGCCCCCTCTACCCTCAGATCCAGGAGTCTGGGCCCTCAAACTCTTCTTCCGTCAGACTCAGGAGCCCTGATCCCTCAGACCGAGGAGGCCAGGTCCCCAACCTCCTCCTCGCTCAGATCCCAACCTCTTCCACCCCCGGACCTGGAAGTGTGGGCCCCCAACCTGCCTCCACCCTCAGCCCAGCTGTCTGGCCCCTCAGCCCCCTCTTCCTCAGACCCCAGAGTCTAGATTCTTCTTCCAGACTCAGAAGTCCAGCCCCCCAGGTCCCTCCTTCCCTCAGGCCTTGGAGGCCATGTCCTAATTCTTTCAGGGTATGAGGGTACTGGCTCAGCTCTGAGATTGCCTGAAGCCCCCCACTCCACATCTTGGACACCCCTGAAGCTGTGACTCCTATCCCCCTCACAGTCCTGCTGCTGAAAGAACTGGGGGGGTCACATACATAGGATGCCAGGGGCCATCTCAGCTGTCCTGGCCAGTGCTCAGGTGGGCCCTCCCTTTTCCCAGGCCCGTTTGGCCTCATGAGCCTGGTTTCCCCAGAGCTGGAGGCAGCTGGATGAAGCTGTGAGTTGGGGCTCCTGCCCTGAGAACTGGGAGAGCAGAGTTCATGCAGGAGAATGGATGTGAGTGGCAGCGGTCACCGGTGAGGAGGTGAGTGATGGGGAGGTGAGGCTGAGGACCTGCTGTCTGCCTTACTGAGTCTAAGGTAGGGTCCAGGAGAAAGGTGGGGTCCAGGAAAAGGGTGGCCCTAAGGGCTTCTGGGAGCGTCAGTGTGTGAACTCACAGCTCCACCTGTAGGGGGCAATGTGGGCTCGGGGCAGCTGGGTGGCCAGAGAAAGGACACACCTGGAGTGTGGACAGAGGACAGGTACAAGGGGGCAGGGACAGGCAGCATAAAGGCAAGAACACCACCCTCTGAAGGAACAGAAACAAAAAGAGAGAGACACAGGGAAGAACAGGGGGAAGATATACACAGAGATTTTTCATCAAAAATGAAGCCAAGGCGAGCTTTGGTGGCCTAGTGGCAAGAAACTTCACTGCAATCCCAGAGATGTGAGGTTCGAATCCACCAGATGCTCTGTTGGAGAAGGAGGGGCAATCTCCTCCTGTACCAGTCAGATCTGATTTGACTGTACACACATTAAAAAAAAAATGAAGCCAAGAGATACTGAAATAAATGTGGTTATAATGAGAGACAGACAGACAGGCAGACAGACACACTCAGGTGAGGAAGTGAAGGTAAAGGAAATAAGAGAAATGGGGGATGATGCCAACTGAGCCTTAGCCCGCCTTCACCAAAGCGTGTATTTTAAATAAAGCATATTTGCTATATTAAAAAATAAAAAAAGAAAAAGAAATTAGGGAAGCTCTGGTGGCCTAGTGGTAAGAAGCTGCACTGTAATCCCAGAGGTGCACGGTTCAAATCCACTAGGTGCTCTGCTGGAGAAGGAGGGAAAATCTCCTCCTGTACCAGTCAGATCCAGTTTGACGGTACACACACACACACACAATTTTTTAAAATTTAAAAAAAAAAGTAAGAGAAATGGAGAAAATAAAATTGACGTCCATATAGAGAATCCATGAGAATAAGATAAAAGGAGAAATGACAAAGCCCTAGACTTGAGGTGCCAGCAGAGAGTGGTAGGGAGCCCCAGAGAATTGAAAGATGGGGAGTTGCTGTCAGAGAGGTTGAGAGACAGATTGACCAGCAGAGAGGGACAAGCCATGTCGGGCACAGAGCCCGGGCGATTATACAACCCACTGGCCCCAGGGGGAGTCCCTTAATGTGCCTGGATGTTCTCCAAAAGGTCTTCAAAGAACAACTTGGTGATTTCTTTCTGAAAACTCAGCTGTTGACAACCCTCTGGAGCACAGGACACAACAGGGTCCCCAGCAGTCAGAATCAAGCCAACAGTGACTATATGGTTGGTGGCCTTGGAGACTGACAGGTGGGGAGAAGGTGCCTTCCTCTGCCTCGGGCATGAATCTAGGAAGTGGGGTCTCTGCTCAGGAAAGGTGTCCCACCATGTCCCACAAAACAAACAAACAAACCTCAAAACTAAACCTACTGCCGTTGAGTCAACCTTGGCTCACAGTGGCCCCATTTATGCTACAGAGGAACTTCTCTCTGGGTTTTCAAAGCTGGGACCTTTAGGAAGCCCGTTGCCAGGCCTTTCTTCCGAGGCATTTAGTACCAGCTGAGTGCTTCACTAGTTGTGTCATTCAGACAGCCTTTCCAATAGCTCAGGAAGGGAAGTGAGCCCAAACATTGTTTGTCACGCCTACAACTGGGCTATTGGGACAAAGCGTGTAGGAGAACTGGTGCTGAACTGTTGTAGCTGGGTCCTGTCAAATCCATTTTCAGTCATGGTGATGCCATGTGACAGGGAAGAAGGGTCCCATAGGTTTTGTAAAAGTGTAATTGTTAAAGGAGCAGATCACCAGACAGAGCAGCTCCATCTTCTCTCATTGAGCCGCTGGTGGGGATCGAACCATCAATCTTTGTATTAGCACTGAAGGGCTCAACTCCTGGGCCACCAGGGCGCTGTGGGGCTGAGTTTAAGAAATGGAAAAGGATGAAGGGAGAAGGGATGCATAAGGAGGATTGTGCAATATGATGTGTATCACTCCCCCACCAGCTGGCTACTGTCCCATGACAGGTCAGGACGTCCCCCTCCTCAACTCAGGGCTGTCCTCCCAGTTCAGGTCTGGAGGTCACCATTTTTTTTATTTTTGTGTGCGTGTACCGTCAAATCAGATCTGACTGGTACAGGAGGAGATTGTCCCTCCTTCCCCGGCAGAGCATCTGGTGGATTCGAACCGTGCGCCTCTGGGATTGTAGTTGCAGCTCCTTACCACTAGGCCACCAGAGCGCCCCTTGGAGGTCACTATTAAAGCTCAGCACTGTCCCATTAAAATCCAGGACTGTCCTCATCCTAAATCAGTCTCTCCACTTCACAGCCCCAAACTCTTCAAATCCCAGGACTATCCTGTCACACTCAGAACTTGTCCTGACAACCCAGGAATCTCCACAACACAACCCCAAAACATAACCCAGCAAAGCCCACATCCGTCTATTTCCTCCCACAGCCTAGGACAGTCACAATTAAGGCCCAGATTGTGTCTTTCATGGTCTAGGACTCTGTCTTAATCAGCCATCAAGAGTCCAAGAAAGTAAAAATTAGACCAGCCAGAGAAAGTGAAAAAGAAAAACCTGCCCTGGTATTCATCAGACAAAGAGCCCTAGTGACTGCTGAGAGATTGTAGGTTCAAACCCACTCAGCGGATCTGTAAAATTGGTGATCTGCTTTGGTAAAAATAATCATCGTTGCTATGTGCTATGGACTGGGAACTGACACATAGCTGACCCTCCAGGCTGTAAATCACATGGGAGGAGATGGTCTGTCTCTCCATGAGCAGCATGGGGGATTCAAACCACGTGACTTTGGCTCGGCAATGCAACTCCTTACCATCAGGTCACCTGAGCTCTGGTAAAGAGTGCAGCCTAGGAAACCCGGTGGGCAGTTTGCTTTGTCCAGTGAGGTTTTTAGGAGCTGGAACCAGCAGCACTCAACCGCAACAACATTCGCAGACTGCGCAGAACCGACTAGCCACCGGCAAGGGCGAGGCGAGTTCATGTCTCCCAAGGTTACACCGCAGCTGTCAAATGTCACCTCCTTTCTGAGAAACCTTATTCTCTAAACTCACAGACTCTGCTGGCTGCCTGACATCATCTCGATAAGGATGGGACGTCTCGATCCTGCTTGGATGGAGGACGTTTGTCACTTTGACCCAGAGAAGGCGTCTCGATTTCCGACCCAGGAGCAGAGCTTCAGATAAGGGGGTTTGGGACGCCACATTCCACATCTGTTAACCGTTAGTGCCAAATACAATGGGGCCCTGGGTCTATTTCTCAGGCCAGATCTGAGGAGGTGCTTCGTACCTTCTTCATATTCTCAATCCCAGAAATACTGGGACCCTTTGTTGTAGCTCCCCGAGAGGCTGGGGGAGGGGGTGGGGGTTCTACCTTAGCCCCTTCCCATCGGGCTCTTGCATCCCAGTCCTGCCCGGTCCTGCGCCCTCGCCTCTGTATTTTTCCCGTCTTCCCTTTTCGAGTCCATTCGAATCTACTCACTCTCCCATTAAAAAGACTCATCCTTCTTTCTGCGGGACACCCCCCCCCCGCCTCTATTTCCACTGCACCCCGAAACGGAACCCGAGATCCAGAGGAACGGCGCCAAGTCGGAAGAGCTGAGACCAAGTGGTCCTTCCCGGAAGTCCGCCTCTCTCCAGGATCCCCCCGGTTCCCCACCCCCCCACACCCCCAGCGAAGGGTCCCGAACTCACCTGCCTCAGTGCTGCTGCTGCCATGGTCGGTGCGGCGGGTAACTGTGCCCGCCGGGGGCGCGTCCCCAGCGAAACACGTTCCGGCCCCGCCCCGCGCACGCCCCTTCCCGCGGGACGGCCGCCCGCTGGCCACCCAGAGCCCGCCGGGATCTTTTTAATCACACGCCGCCCGCGGGGAGACCGCGTCCGCAACAGGGCGCATGCGCCGGGGCTGGTGAACGGTGGGCCACAGATGGTGCACGGGCCCCTCCCCGGGCTCTGTGCCAGCCGCGCCCGTGCTGGACTCGGGTGATGACCATCGCAAAGGCATCTTTAAAACGTCTGCGTATGACGATCGCTTCTTGGAAGGGACAAAGCCACCTGGACCTGGAGGGGCGGTGCATGTGTACACAGAAAAGAACAAAAAAGGAAAAGGCTTTGCTAGAGAATGAGTAAGATGAAGGCATTTCACTGGGCCGCCTGGATACATCGCTTTTTGAGTTTCTCTTTGCAACGAGGAGAGAGCTACGTGCATCGTGTTTTCAGTGAGATAAAAAACACACAAGCTGCCTTCCCGTCTCATATCAGTGAGGCCTGAATTTCAAACCCCTTGCTTTTCCCGATATTGCCAAAACAATCCTTAGGGGAGAGCTCCCTAGTTACCCCTTTTGTGACTCCCAGTTTCAGGAACTCAACGGAAGGTCCTGTAGGATCTATAGCAATTCAGATCTGCGCCAGCGTCACTAAATCTTTGCCCTCGGTCAACTGTTCTCGCAAAACTTTCTGCAAGCAGAGTGCCCCCCCCAAGTCTCCTAAAACTAAGCTAACATTTAGCCCCTTCTATATCCGCACAACGCCATCAAGAGGAATTGAGAAGGGACTCTGGTGGCATAGTCCTCAGCATATTGCTGCTGCTAACCAAAATGGCATGCAATTTTGGCGGTTCGAATCCACCTGCTGCTCCAGGAGAAAAAAAAAATGGGAGGCAGTCTCCTCCGATTCAGATTTACGGTTTCAGAAACGCGATGGGGGTCGCTAGGAGTCAGAATCGACTCCATAGCAGGTTTACTTTTGGGGTTTATTTTTTTAAATTTTATTTTAATGAACATTTACAGAGATTTTGGATTTCCGTTCATTCATTGTTGCACTTTTCTCCCCGCCGCCCCCCCCCCAGTTCGCTCTTCTCTTTGAAAATTAAAAGAAAGATTCCTTCATTGGTATACAAGTCCCCTGCACCCCCAAACCGACTTTTGGGGGTTTTCTTAATACCACTGTGCCTCTTGAAATACAATCCTAGGCACTGGATCCCCCAGATTCGGCCACCCATCGTGTCTGCACATCCTGTCCCCGGGTCAGTACCCCACCCTTCCCCGTCACTGGCCAAGGCAGCCAAATATTGAACCCTGCTCTGCAGGGTGTGCCTTGTTTTCCTTTCCCCTCCACGCCCTGCGCTGCGCTCCATCTGGCCCAGGGCTGTGGGGCGGCGCCGCCCCCGCCTCCGCCACAGCCAATCGGCGTCTGCCGCACACCCCCGCCGCGGCCAATCGGCGCGGCCCGCCGGCTCCACCCCCGCACCTGGGGGACGTCACTCACCCACTCGCGCGAAGCCACGGCGCGCCCTGCAGACACGCATCAGCTCCTGCTGGGCCGGGAGGCTTCAGTCCCAACTAGACCTCCGGGAATCCGAGCTCCCTCCAACCTCCTGCCTCAGACCTAGAAGCCAGGCCCCCCAGAATCTTCTCTCAGACCCGTGTCTGGAACCCCAATTCCTCCTCTCTTAGACCCAAATCTGTGCGCTCTCACACCCAATAGTCTCGACCCCAGCTCGCTCCTCCTCCCTCAGACCAGAGTGCAAGGCCCCAAACTCTTCCTCCTTTAGTCTCAGAGTCTGGGACCCTGCAGCCCCCTCCTCTCTCAAAACCAGGAATCCAGACTCTCCCCTCCAGCCCCCCGCCCATCATATTCAGGTCCCCCATTCTCTCTTTTCCCCTTCAAGCCGCACTCTTTCTCCCCAAGCGGAGAAAGAAATGAGCACTCTTTTCCCATTAGAGGCAAGAACAGCTTTACTTCCTCTATTATCTCCCAATTAGCGCTTAATTGTCGCTCCCCTGCGGGCCTTTTCATTAGGGTGCGGGTGCCGGCCGGCTCGTCCCTGAAGGCTGCCGCGGGGCCTGTCGGGAGTTGTAGTCCTTCGGGGTCCACAGAGAGGCCAGCAAAATGAATGGAAAGAGGTCCTCCTTCTGGGCCTCCGCAGGATTCGATCTTGACTTAGGGGTGGTCTGGGGCTGCACTTGAAAATATGGACGAGTTTGGGGGACTGAGGGGTCTGTGGGTGGGGTTGGGAGATGTCCACGCTGAAAATAGGGAGCTCAGAAAGTGTTGGTGGGCACATTCACTGGGGTCCTGGGACCGGCCTTTTTTCCATATCCCAACTCAGCACCTCCAGTTAAAAACAGCTCGATGCCGGTGCAGTAGTTGGCCTGGGACGCCAGGAACACGGCGGCAGCCCCCACCTCGGACGGCAGGCCCATGCGGCCGAGTGGCTGGGGAGACATGGGGCAGACAAAGTGATCAGGAAGGGGACCCATCTGGTCACCTCAGGCACCCCAGCAGCACGTGGCGCCCACTCCTACCTGGGAAAGGGTGCCCTCTTGGATGGTGGCTTGAGGGTCTGGAGTTGAGGCTGCCAGCTCTGCCCAGAGCGGGGTCCAGATGTTTCCTGGGGAGATACTGGGGGCAGAGAGAGAGAGAGAGACATCAAGGGAGATTTTCCCTAAACTTCTGAGCCATCCTTACAATGTCTGCTAGTTACTGCAGTCACTGATGTCAGTCCATCTCATTGAGTCTTCCTCTCATTCATAGACCTTTCCTAGCATGATGTCTTTCACCAGGGTCAGAGTATGTGAGGCAAATTGTGGCATCAGGATTGGTGGAAGATCTATTAACAATCTCCGTTATGCAGATGACACAACCCTGCTTGCTGAAACTGAGGAGGACCTCATGCACTTGCTGCGAAGGTCAAGGACTGCAGCCTTCAGTATGGACTGAGGCTCAATGTCAAGAAGACAAAGATTCTCACCACTGGACCTATTGGCAGCGTCAGGATGGATGGCGAAGAGATTGAGATTGTTCACAGCTTCAGTTTGCTCGGCTCCACAGTCAACACTCTTGGCACCAGCAGTCAGGAAATCAAAAAGCATATCGCGATGGGAAAGTCTGCTGTTAGGGACCTCTCTAAAGTACTCAGGAGCAACGGTGTCTCCCTGGAGACTAAGGTGTGCCTGATACAGGCCATGGTATTTGCAATCGCTTGTTATGCATCAGAGAGTTGGACAATGACTAGGGAGGACAGAAGGAGAGTGGATGCTTTTGAGCTGTGGTGCTGGAGAAGAGTACTGCCAGGAAAACAAACAGATTCATCTTGGAGAGGATTAAACCAAGCTACTCCTTGGAGGCAAGGATTCTGGGGCTTCGTCTGACATACTTTGGGCATGTTGCCAGGAGGGACGGGTCCTTGGAGAGGGACATCATGCTTGGGAGGGTGGAGGGACAGCGCAGGAGGGGAAGGCCCTCTATGAGGTGGATTGATTCAGTGACTGGGGTAATCGGGATGGGTGTGTCAGAGGGAGTGCGGTTGGCGCAGGATAGAGCAGGCTTTAGGGCTGTTGTGCATAGGGTCGCTATGAGTCGCAAATGACTCGGCGGCACATAACAACAACAAACAACATCTTTGCCAAGCTTCACTTCTTCCAAGAGATTTTTGTTTTTTTTTTTTTTTCCTTAGGAAGTCCATGGTTCAGTCAATTATCCTTGCCAACACGTGAATAAATCTTCTCTTGACATCAGCTACTTCTAACCACAAATTTGAAATAAGCGGACCAGGGTGTGTCAAACTGCATTTTTTCTGCAGGAGTGGCTTGCCTTGTCTCTAAGTTAAAGGTACAATGGGAATTTTCACAAGTGTCAGGTGGCACTGTATGACAGAGGTTATTTTAAAAGGCACAGACTTACTTATGACAAGGCAGCTCTTGGCCTCAACTTTGGGGAGAAGTCAGATTATGTCTCAGAAACTCACACTAAGAGCCTCAGCTTTTAGGAAACGCTTCCAAAATTGCCAAACCCTTGACTCTTGGCCTTTGAATCATTTCAACACTCAGTTCATCACACGTTCAAGAGCTGAACAGGAATCTGTTTTCAAGAAAACTGACATTCTCACCCTGGACCTATAGGCAGCATCTTGATAGATGGAGAAAAGTTGCCAGTGATTTGATTTTACTTGGAACCATCATCAGCCCCCGTGGAAGCTATTGTTAAGCACCTCCCAATGGACAAGGACATAATGACTCTACGAACAGTGGACCTGAACCCTGCCTGCCCTAACCCATGCCATCCTCACCATCTCGTTGCCAGGAAATCAAATGGCATACAGCACTGGCCAAGTCAGCTGTAAAAGACTTCTTTCATGCACACTCATGTTTATTGCAACTTTGTTCACAATAGCAAAGAGCTGGAAATAACCCAAATGCCCATCCACAAATGAATGGATAGAGAAGCTCTGGTACAGTCAGTCACACAATGGAATTATACACTGCATTGAAAAACAAGGAACTCATGAAATATTATGCAAAATGAATGACCCTGGAGGACATTATGCTGAATGAAATATCTCAGTCACAAAAGGACAAATAGTGCAAATAGGGCCACTGTTGTAAAACGGGACTGACATCGGGGTTGAGTGAAGACAGAGAAGGAGGGGAGGAATGATGTCTGTAGTATTGACATAGATGAGGTAGAGAACTGTTTAAAAGAGAGATATGAATGGGTATTCTTGTCATGACAAGAGTCCAGAGTGAATGCTGCAGAGTGGGGTGGACTAGGGGGGAGGGATTGCATAACAATGAAAGAGTTTTTCTAAAAAAAAATAAAATAAAATGAAAAAAGAAAGAAAGAGTTTTTCTTTTCAAGAAGAAGATTGAATTGGGGTGGGGAGGGGATGGGCAGGGAGAAAAGCACAGCAATGAATGACTGGAAACCCTAAGTTTCTGTAAACTTTCATTAAAATTAATTTAAAAAATACTAAAAAAAAGGGGGGGGAAAGACCTCTTTCAAGTGCTAACGAGCAGAGATGCCAACTTGAGGACTAAGGTGTGCCTGATGGTACTGTGTTCATGGATTGAACAGTGTCTACCCAAAACTGGAGTACATAATGCTGCAATTCCGAAGGCAC